TAGTTTATACATTACTTGTTAAAGCACGATCTGCGGTCAGCGCAGTACGCATTGTACTTCTCTTCCAATTCGACTTCATGCAGAAACAAGTTCGGTTGCTCTTCGGACTTAGCCACCGCACCGAAAACGTTCACAAGACAATTCTTAACCTTCTCTCTACCGGCTGAAGAGCATATGGTTTCATTGTTGTCCAATTCGTGAAGATTATTCAGAGCTTCAAGCGCCTTCAGCTTATAGGTTTGCCTAGAAATGGGCTCGAAGTAGGCGAAAAACGATCGCGTTATTTTTTTATGCTGCTTCTAACCGCGTTCGATCGAACAGTATTTCGTCCAGTTCGAAAGAGGAGTCCGCGTTGTCGCCCGTTCCCACAAATACGTGCTTGGCGACCGTCGATGCCACCGGGTTGTGCTTCGCCAGACATTTTTCTTGCACCACGTTGGCATTTTTCTCAAGCTCGTCCATGCATGGCTTTATCATCGTCATCAACGTGTCTTGCAGTGACGAACGCCTCGCAGGCGAAACGCATTTGTTTCTGAAATACACAAGTTTCGTTTGCGAATCCTCAACATGCCGTCCGTTTAACGGTGCACGCGACAACAGGAAAATACAAAATACAAAAATTAACTACAGAAAATAAGTTTCACAGTCACAGTCATGGTAGTGTTGCTCAGCATTGGCACTGAACTTTCCCTAGCAACATACCTTACCTATACCTGGCGACATAGGTACTGATGCAGCTTTCAGGTTAATGAGCATTCCGAGGGGCGCATTTGTTCGTCCCAATTCAGAGACGCATGGCAGACGTTGAAATGCGCCGGAGCAGCGCCATGTCTAAATGGTTACCGTAGGAAGGTGGCGAGCGATACGACGTTCCCGTAAATGAACTACGACTGTCTTATGCTACAGCAGTATCGATGTAATCAACTTTAGTAGGTCGTAACTATCGAAATTTAAGTAGCGCACATGTAGATAGAAATCATTACTTGCTTTCCACGTTGTTAGAGTAACCTCTGAAAGAACTACCTCTCCAACCGATACCGTTGGTTCTGCAGAAGATCGATCAAGGAAGGTTACGTTGTACATTTCACAAGGTTTGGGCTAAATGGAATCATCATGGTAGCCCATTCCATGATAACGATCCTTCAAGTAATGGAAGGATTATGAGTCTAGCAACCGATTTGTTGTTTAACGAGTCATTCTAAGATTTATCGTTACGCAGCATTGCTGTGTGGCAGCTGAGAGACTTCGCACAAGGCATCGAAACGTTTCCAATGCACATCGTTATTTTCAACACCTAATTTTCTACGTGCCCGGACACAGCCACTGACGAAATTCGCTCGCTCTTCAACCTCAGTTGAATAAAATCAGAATGCAGTCTTCCTCAAGCTCGAAATAAAGAAGTACGACGACGACTGTCACTCCCAAGCTTGCAGATTCGATCAAACAAGCCCACCAGAAGCAGGGACATTCTTGTCTATATGCGTAACTCAGACGTCCGGGAAGCCACGTGATGAAGATGAAAGACTTTTGGCTATGGCAGACGCCCTTACATGTCGTGACATAACACGAAATCTAATACCATAAGGACCGCTTGCTGAAACTTAGAGTCAGTTATAAAATTAGACGTTCGCCCCCCCCCCCAAACAAAATTATTTTGCTTGTTCTAGTGTCTTCATTGATGAAATTCGGAGCTGTTATTATGTTGACGTTTTGCCCTGATTACTGGATCATAAGAGACTTAAAAGTCACTCCTGTGAACAGGATGTTTGATATCTCTTGTCCTGTCTTTCTCTCTCAATTTTTATAAATCACCGTACAAGTAATTTCAAAATTTGCTATCGATGGTAGCTAAGGAGATACAATACAGCTTTAATCTATGCAACCCAGCTTTGCTTGAAAAAGACAAAATCGGGCGTCTCGTTTTTTGCTATCTACAGTGTAAGGTCTTCTCTACATTTTCGCTACCTGAGTTGTAGCTAGCGGAATAGCTCAAGAAGACAAGTCAAGCATGATGGCAGAATATGGCTAAACTCCTTCTATTCAACTTTTATGAGGGTACTTTCCAATCTGTTAACTTAATCAACTATGTAAAATATGCAAACAATATAGCATCCCTTTCTGCCATTTATTGTGAATCGGATTTTTCTGACTTGCATGATGCTTGGATGGAGTGAAGAGCCTGAGCCTGACCTAATCATTAACTTCAAGTTATGCCTGCTACTAATTATGGTGATGAAGAACGCAAGATCAGAGAGGCTACTTCTTGAGGCTTAAAGACCAGTAAGATCAATGAATGATTCCTTTCCTGGCTTCAGCACCCTGCGAAGCCTGGGAATTAGTTTGAATGGCAACCTCAGCTGCAGCAACCATCATACAATACTGTCAAATATATGGGAAGGGTCGCTTCTTCTGCTCAGACTACTGAAGTATAGACCCCTCGGTCGAGTGATGTGATTCCACTGATTGTTCTTCGTTGTCTATCTTCTATCATCATTCATGCTAGCTTTTTCAGACCTAAGGGTCTAACGGCGAAGCATGACATCACTTTAAAATGTGCCATTCCGTGACCACTCGAATTCTTCGAGAAGAATTGATCGCACTGATACGGCTAAGGCATTCATTGTTATGCAATAATGGCCATCCAGTGAACGAGGAGTACGCTCGATGCAATTCCGACCAGTATGAGACATTACCGACTGTCAGTCGTGTCATTTTCTTCCAGGCGGCATGGTTCGAGAGTGACTAATAGGGTAACGAACGGCAGAGGAGCCGGGTTTAAATTCTGGCGTAGAAACCATCTCTGTCTTAACCACAAATTCCCTCGAGCAAGGCATTTATCGCACGCTGCTTCAGACAGGTTGCCCAGTAAGCAGATTGTCGAATTCAAAATCGCGATATCCCAGCCTCGAGTCCCTGTAAGGGTCAACCTCCAATCTTTCCTCTAAAGTCGATAGATGAGTGCCACTCAGTTGAACGAAAGCGGAAGACTACCCATTATGCTTGCCACATAGCTGATGTTGACTCTCCTTTTGAAATAATGAATTCATGACTGATGGCATGGAAATAGATGTCAGTGTCCCACATAGACTTCATCGGAAGGTCACCAGAGATATCCCCATCATAAAAGTGTAAGCAACATATATATTCCAATGGTTGCAAACACTTTTCCCTTCCTTTTTTTATCCAAAACTTCTTAGAGACCTGGAAGAGTAGAAATAGTTAATTTTAAATAATTTTAGCATTAGCCCTTAAGCATTGCTTCGTTTTATAGATATTGATTACTTGGCTGGCGATGGTCTTTGCTGATCACGATAAATGCGTTGCACAAGCTAACAAAGCGATAATTTATTGATTAATAGAACAGTACTGCCATCTTTTCGCTGCAGTTTTAATGAGCATATTTATGCGGACGATTTTGTGCCTGTTTACAGCGTTCTACACTATAGCGACTCCAAGGTTTCTGCCACTAAAATGGAGAAATCTCAGAGATGCAGGCGAAGTGAATTATTTCATTAATTCTATTTTTGCAATACCTAACTATGGAAATGTCACTTTATGAAGCAAATCGACGGATCACAACATCTGCAACAAACACTGTGAGGTAGAGGAAGCACTTTACTGGACAATATACAGCATTGTCACCAGCGTCTGTTCGATGCTCCCGCTCGAAGGAATGTTTGTTAATTTAATGATTAAATTATAAACATAATCTCTGACGTACTCAACAAAACAGGCATCCACGTCCTCGCCAAAATTTGTCACCTTCTTCACAGGAGTTCGAGATTTTCTGTTCAATGAGTCCAGACATCGGTAATATTCGCCGATCTCGGCCTCACAAGCTTTATCGACTTGCAAAGAACCACAGATGAACGTTGAAAGTACCAGCAGCAGCGGTACCGACCAGTGCATGTTGATCAGCAGACCGAACAGGAGAACGTAAGCCGCTTTCTGCGAGGGCGCTAACTACGAAAATATTGCTGTTGGTTGTGCTATTTATATAAAGTCCAGTTTGAGCCTGTTTGATGCCACTGGCACTTTTTTTGTAATTATGCAATAATTTTGATTTTGAGCCGGATTTTGAAAGGCTTCGCTTTTTGGCCGCCTTCAGTCCGCCGCTCGAAACTGCGTGCCCATTGTGTGGGTTGTTTCACTTAT